CGCACTCGCAACGTTGATCCTGGTAGCAGCCTATAAGTGTCCGTGCTTACCGAAGTTGTCTTAAACATCACACAACCAACTCTGAGATTTGGTCTGCAATTTAATGCCATTGTGCTTGTCCCGCTAGTTCATTAATAGAGGTCAACTTGGTTGTAGTTCTGTGGGCTAAAGGTGCAAAGCCGTAATAACATTTTTGTGCAGTTCAGTGGATAACAAGTCAAGTCCGTCAGTTCCGACCAACGACATAATTCGTCAGCATTTCAATCAGTACAGCCGTACGAACTCACATTACAATATTGTCTAATTGTGAGTATGCAGAAGCATCGAAGTATCGGCACTCATGTAGATGACGAGACACCGTAAAGTGAAGGTCCAAGGTACACGTGGGCTATTAGCCGTACTTCAAGCAATAAAATGAGTTTTTATCAGATAAAGCAAAAACAAAATTACATATCGGCTTGGATGTGTTTCAGTTGAAATATATGTCACTCCTGAAGTAGCTAACAATTTAGGCCTTAAATTACGGTACAGGCTCTCATACCGCTCATAGGTGGATCTTAAGATCTCTATCTTTGTGCGGCTCTTAGCACGTACTCGTTAAGTTGACATTTCCAGTTGTGTGATATACACAACCACCCCGTTGCACAATAAATCGATTTCTCTAACAATCGATCCATGTTGACAGTGGTAACCATATCGCGACCAAGGTTCGGCATCTGACGAATATTTCTGTTGATGTGGTAAAGTGAGTCAATCTTTTGGCTTGCTGAGTAATGTTCATTCGATACAAGAGCTGTCGTAGCTTTCTACCAGCACTTCTGCTTCCTGGCAGATCTGGGTCCTCGACTCGCAGAAACTCCACCAGTAACGAGCGCGTTGCATTGGATGTTCTGACTTTCCACTCACCAATAATTCATGACGTACAAGCCACACCATATCAAGGATAAAGTTTTATCGTGGAGGATGCGATAGTAATCAACGCTGTGAATGGTTATATTTTAAATAGAACGTTCAGCAGAAACTTCGGTACTTTCACGAGTTTTTCCGCGCGTCCCACAGATATTATACCTGTATTTGGTATCTCTCATGAACGCCTAGGTCACTTTGGCCCAGATGTGAAAGAAACATAGCACTTTTATGAAGATGCCCAACCTTAGCATCGACGCCAAGCTTTATGCAACCGAGGATATTCCTTAGAGATTGAGATGTGTCGAGCAATTGAATTCGAAGCGCGATTGTCAGATACAGTAAGAAGCACGTGGAAGCACAGGTACGTTTCAACCTAGTTCTTTTTCTGTAGACAGTCATGCGTCTATTCCAATGTATCCTGTAGAGAAAACCGACACTTCAAAGCTACCAGCTACGAGAACCGAAGGCAGGCAAGGCGCAAAGGTTTTGTATTATCACAGATAAATAACGGTCAGTACCGCGGAGTTGCTCGGCAGCTAAGTTGTAAATGCTTCTTCCTTGGCATTGTTGAGGTCTATCGCCCTAACGCGGTTTGAGAGCTTCTACTTATTCCACCCCAACAGGCCCTTGCGGCACGAGAGATGTACACCACATTTGATGCGACATTGACCCCTTCCTTGAAATAAGTATGGTAGACGTGGAAGGGCTCGAAACTCCTCCGTTAAGATAGTTCTTCCGAAAGAGGGTCTGCCGCCATAGTAGTGAAATAATTTTGCACCTTCCAAACATAGTCCGCTAGTTTTTGCCTTCATTAAACCTGGAACGCGCCCGGTACGCTTGATTAGCCATTGTGTTCCCTCGACAGATGAAGCTATAATGTCTCTATTACCTGAATGCCTCTTTTAGAGAAGTACTAAGTACTCGTGAAGCGCGACATCATAGTCGAACGTGCGCATTCTCATTGCTATTATTACCTTTCGGGCGTGAGATTACCACTTTCTGCACTTATAACGCCTGCCACTTGATCTCACAGGGGCAACGATAGAGTAAACTTACCAAGTGTGTTTAGTGATCGTGCGAATAGACAGTCAAACAAGTTGTGCTTCATACAGTCTCTTAGTTCACTGACGACAGGTGCTACCAAGTGCAACAAAGCTGCCGTGCACCTTGTACAGAGAAAGCTTTGGCTCAAAAAGTCCAAGTTTACTCATGGTTTGAGTAAACTTGGACTTTTTGAGCCAAAGCTTACTATGAACTGATAGAGAATGTCGACTTTGGACACTTCTCTGAGGAGCAAAGCTGACTGATAGTCGCTTAAGTAACTAACTACTTACTTTGCCAAAAGTGACTTATCTAGGATGAAGCCTATTCGAACTAATTTTTAATATGGCTGCATTCCCACGCTTTGGTCCCTATCTCAACTTTACATTAGTTTATAATGTAACTTCCACAATTACAGAGGTGTTCCGTGAAAAAAGTGTGATCTGAATATATATAATTTTGCAGGACATGCTGTGGAACAGAGCGGCTATCTACTTTGCTCCTGGATGACCCATACGGAATTATCCTTTTCGCGTTCTAAACGCAAATTTTTTTAGTCGAAACATTTTCTTTGCAAGGTGCACAGTCAACCAAGTTGCAGGTAACATCTATATATTCATTCTATCTGCATCTTTTTGATAATTCAAATGGCAGATGGAGGGCTGGATCTGTATAAAAACTCTCGAGTGCAGCCATCGACTTGAGAGAGGTAACGCAAGTTAATTTATAGTACTTTATGAACGGTGACAAAAGTATAAAATACAGTATCGTACATTATAGTTATACGTAGTATCCGCAAAAGTCACGAATATGCGAATAAACCACGTTCCCGTATCGCCACTAAGCCTTGCTTATAAACTCTGCGTACGGACTGCACAGCCGCCGTCGCTTCAATTACGACCATTGGTACGATTCATTTTAAGTGAACATTGATTTATATTAGTCTTCCTACGTCTGATCATTTCAACCCTTTTTTTTTCATGTTCATCATTACCCAATAATCATCATACCCCCGCCACTTGGCCACGAGTTCTTCGCGAGTCCATGAAGTTGGTATCAACGCTATATAACGAGCTTTTTTGATATCAAGATCTGTTTTGATTTCACTAATACACAACGCTGAATGTAAGGCTGAAGAATCCACTCCAGCTTGATAGAGGTCCTGATGAGTTTTGCGTGGGTCGACAAACATCTTCACACTGTGGTATGTTGGGTCGAGGTAATTTCTAACGGCTTCAATAATGCTTCCTATCAGATGTCGTTCTTCATCCTCTGAAACAAGATAAGCTCTGCGATCTTCGTCATCGGTGTCGTGCACTCTCAAACGCCTTTGTTTGTCATTGAAAAACGAGATTGCGTTGCTCGTGTCGACGTCGCTTTTCAGCAATGCATCATTCACCGGTATTGTTTGTCTCGAACCCACCGCTTGGAGCGAAGCATAGTTAATACACGATAGAAGAACGAAAATCCTTGACAGAAGCATATAGTGTATACGCACTTCGAAGGGATAAAATGAGCAGACGGTAAGTTTTGCGTGGCTGCTGCGAACGTAAAATAAAAATGAAAGATCTGTAATTCTTCTCATTTATTGTACGTGGTCATGTTTTGTTCAGCCCTGCCCTTTTTCAAACAGGCAGAGTGCCAACCATTTACGACACATTGTAAATATAATAAAAGATAGACTCCAGAACACCCTTGTGAGCTTAGAAAACATCAATGACTAAAGCTCAAACTGGAAGTTTATTGTTGTACCACAACGATAGCTTTTAAATTGGTTCGTTCCATACAAGTCCATTAGCCACCAAATTGGTCAAGTGTCGAGACTAGCGGCTGGTACAACTAAATTATAATCATTCAGAGCTCAAGTATAGGTAGAGATTTGCGACAAAGGCTAAGAATTACTTGCATTCGAGCGGGTCTACAGCCTCTTTATTTTTACCGCATGTTGTGTACCCATCAAATTGCTATGATATGTTCTGAGATATTTGTCGGGACATCGTTGGATAGATCCAGCGCAAGTCTAGCGATTGAGTCATTTTAGGATAGTTCGACGAATCGTGAATATCAATTGCGCCATACTATAACCAGCAACAAAAATTTAGCATCTAGTAAAATGAACTCCTTTCTGATCCTGTCTTGCCGTCGACATGCAGCCGTTTTTTTTTCAATCTTGGCGTGAGCTAAAAATCTACAACAGCTGACCTTTTTCAACTGGGATTAGGTCTCAAAGTCACATAGACGTCAATTTTGTGAGTGATTCATCTATGAATTGACATAATCTATTTGCCAAATTCCTTTAGCAAGTATTTGGATAGCTTTGATACCTAGGTAGTGCATTATCGTTTACTTCGTTATCCAATATTCACGAAGATGCATGACACTTTAAAATGATGACGATAAATTCTTAGATAAAAATCTTGGCTTATTTACGATAGGTCACATCGTTCAACGAAAAGCATGATAGAAGAATGGTTTGATCGTGATGATCAGCATCGAAATAGATGTGTTGGGATAATTTCAAGGATCCTTGCTCGCGCGTGCCTGTGCATGGGCTGAGATAAATACTCTTGTGGGTATGCGCGATTTAAGATACTGGATAGACTCACAGAAATATTTGATACTCTGCCGTCAACATCCATTTTACAGCCAGATAGAAAAGTCGCTTGCTTCGCGGCTATCTCTGTACTCAATCTTGTCCAGTGAATTCAGCATTTCGCATCCGCCAACGCTCGCACATCTGGCACTTATCTCAAAGCGCGATCATCGTAGAATACTCTAGAGAATAGCAATCGCATCAAAACATCAAGTACAAGGAGTACCGACAGACATCTATATGAAAGTATTGTAAAGTAGTCTGTGCTTAAAACGCCTCACCTCAACGAGCTAACACTTTCGCTTATATACACAACTTGAGACTCAAATTTAGTAAAGAAAAAGCGAGGTCATTCCATTTGCATGTGAGAAGCGGAGATTATGGAAACAAAAGCTGCATAAATTTTTTAAGTATGTCGTTCATCGAGAGTGAATTGTCACAGGTACTTTTTAAAGTACTATCCAATTGAGGAGCTTGAACATGAGCAAAGAGATACTAGCCATGATCTACGCCGTTGAGCTGAATGAATTATATACAGTTCGGACAAAACTCTATCTACAATGCTAGATCGACATGGTACGCACCCAATTCCGCGAACTGTGCCAATGAGGTGCTTATAGTGCTGGCACGCTTACGGTGTATCGTTAGTTTGAATGGGAGCCAAGGAAATTGCACAGTTGCAATACTGTCAGCTAGAGAAGTGATATGGAGTAGTATTCGTGCCGTTAGTAAGATTCAGTACTTGCCATGATAGAGCAGAAGATTTTTGAAGTTCAGTTTGAGTCAGATATTACCCCAAATTTAGCAATGTACAAGCCTTGAAGACGAGGTGCTTTGCGTCATATTCCGAGCTCTGACAGAAAAGTGACATCTTACGACAATACGAGTCGGTGCAAGAACTGAAGGAACTAAACAAGATACAGTAGAACCTGTCTAAATTAAACCTGTTCAATTTAAAACCCTCTCTAATTTTAACAAACGATATGGACCCATGTTGGGCAATAAACAGTAAAACCTGTCTAAATTAAACCTGTTTAATTTAAAACCCTTGTAAAATTAAACACTCTCCCCCAGTCTCAACATGTTTAATTTAGACAGGTTTTACTGTAGAGAGATTAAGCGACGGAAAGCGTAGTACAAGTGGGACGTCTACCATGCATCGGTGGGTCTGACTCAAGCGTTCCTAACCGAGCATCATTTTCTCACTAATGACTGAGTGGCTAATCAATGCTCATCAAAGCATCTGTAGCGGTATCGTGGACAATTATGTATTAATGATGAGCAAACTTCACTCCATACCGATTGATTTAATAAATTCGTTTGGTTCAACTACAATCTAAGTTTCTTTTTCAACATACCTATGGTACTAGTTTTGAGGCCTCTACACTTATGTTTGGTCATGTTGTGAGGCATAACGATTATCATTTGCCATTCGTTTGACAAGTGGGGCCTTTTGCCGTCTAGACTGTAATATCCACGGAATATCCGAGACTTGGACGCTATTCAAACCGATTTTAATGCTTGTACTTCATGAAAGCTCATTCGTGCTGAATTGCCGACGGGTAGAATGAATCCGATTCTCTTTACATCGTTGGTCTGTGGCCTCAAAGCTATTCCCTTCAACGCTGTTTAGGTCCAAACACCATAGCTGGTATAATCTTCTGGAAAGCACGACCTTCGATCGAGATCATCCACTTTTACAAATCAAGGTGTGTGAAGCAGCTGGGCAATCGTACCCGCGATATGGCGAATCGAGATAGACTTCTTTACAAGAAATACGAGGGGTGACTCGACATGTGCGTTGCTTGAGACTTCACTCAATGTGATTGTGAAAGGATAGAGAGGACAATTTTTGTTGTTGTAAAGCAGCGGCACATCCAATGTTATATTACTAAGCATTTGCGCTTAATATAAGCGTCTCAGATAAAAGGAATAAAAGGAACGTCAACGTCCTCCATCAGACATACAATTGCATCGCAGCTCTATCGACTTTGAAGCGTCATTAGAAGCATTCATAGTTCTCAAGCTGCTAAAGCTTTAAGTGTGCTATTATTTGTGCTACTATTTGTTAAAGTGTCCCTAGTTTTAAGTCTGAACAACATTTGTCAACGTGTCAAGTATCGGTAGGTACAAATTCGACCGGGAGACTCAGCGGACTAAAGTCATCATGAGATTACAGGAGAAGTAGCTCTAGCAAGCAAAGTGTTTGAGTGATACAGGAGGGATCATGTCTTCGTTATTAACGCATCCTATCCCGAATAATGGCTTTAAACACTCGCTAACGACTCATGGATGAAAATGCTCAACAGAAAAGACACCAATCATAAGGCCAGTGAAAGTTCCGGCCAAACAAAAATGCAGAGGCTATGAAGACCAATACAGAATACAAATTGGATACTGTCAAGATTCTCGAGAAAGATGGTTTTTGTGAGACGTTAAGATAGAACGAAGGCATATCAAGACATTTGCATTCCTGTTTTCTTAAGTTGAGCATAGATATCGTCGGCAAAATTGGTATTTTAGTATTCAAGATGACACCCAAATCAACATTCGGCCAGACTGGCGCCGTAACATCGTTGTCGACCGAAATGAGTCGAAAAATCAACAAAATCCTGCTTCCTGGCATGTGACGCAGCAATTGCTGGTGCGTTACACACACTCGGATAACAGCTTAACAGCTTGAGGTATAGCTGGCACCGTGAATGGTCCGAGTGTCTTTTATCGATTTAATTGCCAGCAGAGTAGTGACGTTGCTCATGCGCAGCGGGGCTGTCGAAGCTCTTTCGCTTAGAGGAATCTTGGTTAAGGTCGGTGACCTTCGTTCTATAATTAAAACCAGTACGAGTGTAGCGGATCACAACTCACTTACTCAAAGAGTAATTACAACCTTAACCAACGCTAATTAACTCTTTTGCTCTAAGAGCATACTGTACTTCTCGGTTTTATTTTTGCGGCAAAAAAAGCCGCCAATATCTAAAGCTATAGGTTTTCCTATATATAAAGTATAACCTAATTCAATGTATAACTACTGGCAGTCCAGCCACTTACTGACTTCTTGTTCAAGTGTAGCCGTACCATTGTTTGGTCACGCCATCTTATGTTACCCACTCCTTCATACCAGGGTACGTGTAATCCTGTTACACTCTTCCCCTTCAAGATTGTAAACATCAACAGTTCACATTCAACTGTCGCCTCGAACGAGACTCGCTTGTCTAAGACACCACAACATCATCAGGACCTATTCCACGCATTCTCTGATCAATTAGACCTGTGTCGGGGACACGGAAGACACTCAGTCTCGCTGGTTTCGAGAACGCCCGTGGGCAGACCCCTTCTTCGTCTCCTACACGCGGTGCGCCTTCTGACAGCATGTTCGCGGCTTCAAGGGAAGCGCAGTCCACGCTCTCGGTAACTGAGTAACGCGCAGCGCGTTTTTAGCGACAGGATCGTACGATCAAGAATACAGACGCAATGTCCACACACAACCGAGCACCGCACCCGCCACGGGCGATGGATTACCTCGTCGAGGCAGAGGAAGTCGACTACGAGTCGAATACTCGTTTTGAAAGATGGGAGAAGAAGAGGGCAAGGAGCCCCAGTGGCGCGACGTGAGTTCTGCTTAATCCTTGCGGACGCCGTGTACGATTCCCAAAATTTCGACTTCTGGGGGAAGTTTTGTCATTACCAATGACCTCAACAAGGCACAGAAGCAGTGGCAGGATGCTGTCCGCAGAGCGGCTTCCATGCGCGGGCATCCACGGTCGGTCCTTGACCCTTGTGTGGAATACGGCTTCCAATCCCACTACAGAAGCGAACGGCGTGATTACTCGGTCGTTGGGTGTCTACGTGATCGGGCCCCCGGCCACTGCACAAGCTGAGCTTGACCGACGAATAGCTTTCCGAGATGTATTCTTGGTTCCTTAGGAAATCTCGGTGAATACGCACCGCGCTCGACTTCGTGCTCAAACAGGCGGCGCCTTGTACCCGCGCCACGGACAATTCCTGCGGTGCTCGCCCCCGGTAAAACCGCTGCGGAGGACGAGGAGCGCTTTGAGAGATGGGTGCAACGGCACCGGAAAATATCCTCGTTGCACAACTTACAGTTGGGCCACAAGGAGGAAGGCGCGTGTGTGAAACGTCATCTTTGGTTCGAGTTTGCCAAAATCAAGGCGCGTCGCCGACTTCCTTCGGATTGTCTCCCTGCGATGTATGGATTGATTCATCATACACCCGCGAGCTCTGTGGTCTCTCACATGGTTGAGCCTGCTACCGCAGCAGCTCAGGCCCATATATTGAGCTCTGCTCATGACCCTTCGGATCCCCTGGTTATTGCCGAGCGCGCGCGATGCGTACGACGTCGAAGAACGTCTTGATCCCTCATATCATAAGTGTTCACGACTTCTGGGTACTCTTGCCGAAGTGTCACTTCAATCTCTCACGAGTTCGCGAGGTCGTGGTATCCCCGCATCTTCACAGGATACTGGATTTAACCCTGTCGACGACGTCGACCCACAAGACTTTCCACGTGATAGTGGACACCCCGTTCTCGTGGAAATTAGTCGGCGGTAAACTATGATGAATGTATCGATCGCCGTCCGGTGACTTGCGATGCTCTTTGAGCTTTTGAGGAGGAGGTATGTCGCGATCGATACTCAGTTGAGCATCATGCTGGGGTTGCAAACCGCTGCGCGTAAATGCTAGAGATCTTGGAGCATGTTGATTACCGGTTGCCTTACGTTGAGAACTATCGCGCTCTGTCAGAGCGGTTCCTAACCGTTGAGCAGATGAATGCGTCGCTTTAAGCGAAAGCGGAGCACTTTGCGCCGTTAGATATGGCAAACGATGCACTACGTGCTCAAACCAAGTGCTTGTCCAGCTTCTGGGTGTTCGAGTGCCTGTGGGATTCGCTCCGGCGCCAACGCTTCCTCGTTCACTTGCGCCGGATCCCGGTACGGATTAAGTAAGCCCTCATAAAACACCGGAAAGGTGTGCATCCGTTTCGAAATGTTTCGCAAAACCTCAAGGCCCTCCGCTCGGCCACAAACTTGAAAGGTTCAATAAACCGTTAACAGAACTTCGTCTTAACGACGGCAGAAATTGCTCGGGTAGGAAGGTATATAGCATACAAGAAATTAGATCACCGATCTCAAAGCTTTTAGCATTGCCTCTACCTCTTCCGTCTGCATGTTCCTTCTGCAAGTCTTGGCTTTCAGCCATCGCATCGCGAACGTGTCGTAGCACACTCAGTCTGGTAGACAGGAAGTGATCGACTTTCTTACAAACAGTGAGAGGGCTGACATCAGCTAGCCGCTCGGCTACTTTTCCCCCACCAAGTCCTGAATCGTGGGATGGCGAGAACGAGCCCGTTCACGTAGAGCGTCGTGAAGCCACTGCATTGTTCAGAGCAAACTGTACGAGTCGCAACATGGCGCTCCAGCGCCTCAGATTCTTAGCGCAGACGCTGCAAGAGACGGCTTTCACGACGCAATTCGCACGCTCAGTGTGACCATCGGTCTGTGACTGGTACGCTGTTGACATAGTCAACTTTGTGTTCAGCACCTTAAAGATCGTCTGCTGAAACCTCCCAGTGAAGCGTGGGTCTCTGTCAGAGACAATTAACTCCGGGAATCCATGTTGTTAAAAAACACGATTCACAAACAGCGTCGCTGTACCGACACCGTCGTTGGTATCGGGCACTGCCCCAAAATGAGTCATCTTTCTCAAATGGTCGACAGAGACCACTACGCCCTAGTTGCCAGCCGAGTTCTTCGGCATACCAATCACAAAGTCCAAAGGCATGGACTGCCAACAGCCGGAGGATATTGGCAACCCGGCCAGCGGCGCCGCCGCATTCGGAGAGGGTATCACCCTCTGACACGTCTCACACGTGCGCATACTTGATCTCGTCCATTTGCACAGCTTGGGATACAAGTAGTGGCAACCCTGAAGGCTGTACGTCTTCTCACGACTGAGATGGCCACTAAGTGGGGTGTCGTGGGCCTCATACAGGATACGGTATTATAAATCCTCATAGTGAGGAGCCACGATTCGTGGCGTATCCGTTAAATCGGTGCTAAGATACAAATATCCATCATTCAACGAAGATCGGTTCAGCTGTGCACGCAGTTGCGACGACAACTTCTTTACCGAGTGTCTAAAATACTTGCTGTAACGGACTTACAAGTTCTCCTGTAAGAAAGGAATTCATTCCCTGTGCATTCGCAACTATAACCATTGCGTAAGACGCTAAAGCACGCTTTAGTAAAGGTTACGTTGTCGCCACGTGGTAGGATTGCCGGTAGTTAAGCATATTAGTATGGTAATTAGGTTTTGCTATATTAACTAGGCATTACTATATTAATTAGGAGAAACCAGAATTTTAAAATATTGGTGGCTCTGCCACAACTCAGACAGCAAAATACAGATTCGTTTTTTAAACAATAGTGTTCGTTTGCCTTGGTTAAGATTTTAGAACTTAGAAGTTGCGGATTGCAATCCGCAACACTTGTACTGGTTCATGAAAAGGACATTAGGTTGGTGATCTTCGCTTAGCTTTCTCTCAGCAAAAAGCTACGGCAGCTTCGCTGCACATGCACCAGCAGCGAAGCGCAAATATCATCACCCGCGCTCGCGGATCACATCCGTCACGGATGACGTCAAGAGCAAGCTCATAGTCTGGTCTGTATAACAACGCATTTGCCAAGCATTCTGCTTCTCTGGCTTATACCTCACCTCGAAGTTACACATGCGAAGAAGAAGAGCCACCTGATAATCCTCTGCGAGAGGTGAGGCGACTAAGTTCAAGTGCGTAGCAACGCATGGTTTGTGTAGATTGCGAACGGCTTGGAGCCGAGCAGGTGAACCCTGAACTTGACAAGTCATACTTCATCGCAAGTATTTTCCTGTCGTGAACTACTAAGTTTTTGTCTGCAGTCTTAAGCTGACAAAATTCGAACGCAATCACCCGAAATCACTCCTCGGCATTTGCTTGCAGCAGTGCACAGCCGATGGCAAAATCCGATGCTTCACAGACGACACTGAATGGACGATCAGGGTCTGGCAACGCAAGTTTGGTGCATGAAGATGGCTGTCTTTGACCTCGTCAAAAGCCAACTGATTCTCGGCGTACCAACATCATTCCGTATTTTTCTTTAGGAAAATTCGACAATGACCGTGCCAGTTCTGCGTTTTTCTCACCGTATTTGTGCAAGTAATTAAGGAGGCCAAGCCACTTGCGCAAGACTTTTTTCATTGAAACTGACCAGTATCCAATGGCCTTGACCGTAGCGGAAACCGCTCGAATGCCACGCTTCCCCTTGAAACACCCTAAAGTAGGACTTTCTTCAGCACAGAAGATACAATTATCAGCATTAGCATACAGCTTATTCGTGCGCATGCACTCGAGCACCGCTCCTTAATGGACGATATGATTTTTTTTCAGCCATGCCGCTCGGAATACTCACCGCTATCAGCGGAATATCACTCGCTCTCATGAGCAATCGTACAGCCAACCATATTGTTCTGGAGAACTTCTTTCCGAGGATCGGCGTCTGTGCCGGAATGATGGCAACGTTTAGCTTATCGTAAGCGTGAACGATACGCCAATTGCCCTTCGTGTTCCGAACAAAAT